TTTTAACGTTGCTTAAGTTATATCGATGTATCGCCTGATAATGTACAAATTAGTGATGATTAAATTGAAAACAACATTTATCTATCTCAATGAAAATTGTCTAAACTACACATAAATGTACCTGGCATTATTTGTAGATAGTTTTTTATTAAATAAATACAAATAATTGAACCACAAAGACGTTCATTTATCAAATACAAATGTGTTCTTCATGTTCTTTTCTCTCTCTTCATATATTTAGCAAATGATGTATAACGATCACATCAAATAAAGCAAGTTCATTAAATAAATAAGTATTCATATCAGAGCGATGAGCGAAGTTAGTGCTGGGGCAAAGCCCTTTGGGGGCCTTAAGCAGAAATTATTAGTGGGTGTTCTCGCTACAATGATTAGATCCTGCACAGGCTACTCGGGTTCCTAAGCTTCTGGTTAGTTTGCTCGTGCATATTGCCACCACCACTACAGGGGTCAAACACATTTGTTGCTTTGCATCTCAGCGCGCGTTCGGCGTTCGCTTTAGCAGCAAGGTCAGCGCAATCTACAAGCGGGTGGACGTCTAACTTGGGCGACGGAATACCTGCGTTAACATTTTCAGCCGCTCATATTCCTCATTGATCTTCCGGTTCCCTTCCTCTGCCTTCTCGCACACCGCCTCCATCTTCCTCAGCTCCTCCTCCAAGCGCCGCTCGGCGGCCTTCTCCTGCTCCGCGAGCCGCCGCTGCCTCTCCGTCTCCTGCTCGGCCTCCGCCTTCTGCCCCTTGAGCTCCTCCAGAAGGCCGTGCTGCCTCTGCAAACCTTCCTCCATCTGACGCAGCCTCTCGGCCTCGTGCGCCACCCTGCGAACCATCTCCTCCTGCTTGGTCTGCGTGGCCGCCTCGAGCAGCATCTCCTCTCTGTTGCTCCGCTGCTCCTTCTGCTGCTCCGTGCTCACCTTCCTCTTCATCGTGGCCACCTCAGACTCCACTGCCTTTTGCTTTTGAATTGCCAGGCGCTCAGCCTCCTGCGATGCCTTCACCTCCTGCGCGATTTTCTTCTGGTGCAGCTTCAGCTCGTCGATGTAAGCCTTCTGCTCCGAAATCTCCCTCTCCAGTTGGCGCTTCTCTAAGACGGCCTGATCGGCCTGGGCCTTCAGAGCCTCGACGTCTCTTTCTACGACTTCCTTGGTCTTCTCGATACTTTCAGAGTGAAGCTTCAATTTCTCCACCCTTTCGCCCAGAAGATGTTTTTCTCTGTCGAGAATGTCCATTCTCCGTTTCAACTCTGCCTCCTTTTGGGTGACCTGAGCCTCAAAGGAAGATTCCACGAAATGCTTCTCCTTTCAATCTGATCCTTCAACACTTGCAGCCGTTGTTCATATGCCTTTTGCAGGGCTCCTGTTTGTTTCTGTATGTCTGTGGTCGATCTCTTGGTCAGTGACAGCTCTTCCTGCATTTGCTTCATCTTCCTCACGTATTCTTGCTCTGTCTTCATTTTTTCCTTGATCAGCTGATCTGCCTTCTGGATTTTTTGCGAAAGCAATTTGATCTGCTCTACCTGCTCCCGAACTTTGACTTCAGCCATGCCCTTTTCTTGCTGCAATAAATGAATTTGAGCCCTGAGTTCCGCCAGCTGCTCCACCGATTTCTCCTTCGACTTAGTCAGCTCCTCGACCTTCAACTTGAGCATCTCCATCTGCTTCAGGTCACTCTCTTTGGTCCGAGCGAAGCTGTCTATCTCCATCAGAAGCTGCCTTTCCTGGGCCGACGCTTCACTGTGTTTCATGCGTTCGAGCTGCAGTGCTTCTATAATGAACATCAGCTGCTGCTTGGCCTCCATCTCGGCCATCCCGTGCTTCTGCAGACGTTCAGTGGCTTCCGCGTCCAGCCTGTGCATGTGCTGCGCCGACTGCCGCACCTTCATGCTCAGCTGACCTTCGGTGAAGGCCTTTTGCGCCAACATATCCTCCGTTCTTTTCTTCTGCACCTGGATCTGCTCAAGGTGTGCCTCCCGTCTTTTCAACTCCATCTCCATGTTCACCCTGACCGCCTTGCCGGCTTCGGTTTTCTCCCTCAGGACGCGGAGGTGTTCTTCCGCAGCGAGGCTCCTCAGCTGGCCCTGCTGGTGGACGAGCTTCAGGTCGTTGAGCTCCCTCTCCGTGGCCTCGGTTGCGCGCGAGATTTCCTCCAACTTCGCCTTCAGATCTTTTGCCTCCTGCTCAGCAGCGTCCTTTTTCCTCTGGATGTCGGACGAAGCCTGTTCGTGCCGCTTGAGCTCCTCCTCCGCTCCCCCGCGGATGTCCGTGATGTCCCGGGACAGCCTCAACGGGCTCTTAACCTCCTTGGGAGACAGGGTGGGACTCGCGCCGCGATCGGCTCGCGTTCGCCGCTCCTCCACCGTGATCTCGGTTGAGATCATCCGCGGCCGCCCCGCCGACGGCTCCCCCGCGGGGAAGAAAATCTTGTCTCTCTTCAGCTTCTGGACGTGCACCTTCCCGTGTTCGTCAACAGTCCTCGTCACCGACTTCTCGACGAGCGTCACTCTCTGCCGAGCTCTGGGCGACGTGAGTCTCTCGAGGGTCCCGCCCTCCCGGACGTTTCCTTCCTCAACTATTCCCACGGCGACGCTCGGCACGGCTTCGGCCTGCTTCTGCCGTGGCTCGTTCCAGGACAGACATCGATCGTTAGCGGACGCCTCCGCCGCCTTCGATTCGCCGCGAAAAGCTGAAGCTTACCTCGGAGAGCGGCAAAGCACCGCCCACCGGCAGCGGAGCGAAGCGCAAACCACGGAAGGTTTTGTTTTCTCAAGGCAACGGCGCGCATGCTGCGCGTGGAGCCGCTCCAGCTCAGAATAAAAAGCGATGCTTTGGCGTGGCCATTGCAGAGGGGCGACGCTTAGTTGGGTGCTTTGCTCACGCTCGCTGCTCTTGGATGCCATGCGTCGTCCGCACATCGCTGAAGCGGCCAAGCATTTTGGGGTTTTGCACGCCATGCAGACAGGATTTACACCACCCTACGATCAGATTCTTGTCGGTTTCAACACATTAAGCCTCCTTGATCAGAGTACTCCTTATCCTTAATACAGAACAGCCCATACATTCCCCTCACTATTTTCACGTGTAAACCATTTAAATAATTGTGCTGTGACCTGTATTGGATGCACTTAACTCTCGATTATCTGTAGGAAGATTATCCGAATTATGGGGGAAAAAAATATCTGCAAAATGCTCACTGGTTTAATTATAAGCTGCTCCTCACACATGGAAGGTCAGGGTCTCAGTGCCCACGTCACCATGTGCACCGAATACATCAAGAAGCGATAAAGTACATGACACATTCTACTTTTTTGCCCCTAATGCTACCTTGTTAAAAGAAAAATGTTTTTTAAGAGCCAAGCATATGTTTTGCATAATCCACATTATTGTGAATCAAAGCAATCCATCTGCCCCCCACCATTACCCACAGACAATCGAGAGTTGACTGTTATAATAGGAAAAATAATCTACTCAGGTACTTCCTTATCCTCAACGTATGATAATCCCTCAAAATAGAACCAAGATAACGTTGTATGACACCTCCATCTGCCGAAATGCAGTCCGTTAATATTGCGTTTTAATAATATTTTTCAAAGCTAAGCGTGATATCACTTGTTTACTCGTGTACTTCACGGTTAACCTGTAATGGGCTTCGACGCGATCCTGCACGGAAGCAATCGGTGGTTTCGGGGCAAGAGACGGCTTGTGCAGCCAGCTCACAAACAACAGCAACAAGCAGCGGCACACACACACACACAATCAAAGCCACACTTCGCTTCACACAGTATCCCCCGCTTGGCGAATACTGTCGGCGATGACAGCGGACGCTGTATTGCCGCCACGCGCCAGGAACTCGGCCGCTCACGAAGCGATGGGAGAGCGCGGGGGGTGCGTCTCCCTTGTTAATGCGGTTCACAGCCAGGCGGAAGAAAAAAAAACAAACAAACCGCAGAGCGGCCTTTTGGCCATCGCTGCAAACGCCGCCGCCGTCGTCGAAACACGACGGCAACGCGCTACCGCAGTGGCCCTTCCATTTTAAGAGGTCGGCTTTTGATGAACCGTTGACATTTATGTTTGAAAAAAACCTCTCAAAACGCGCAACAAACATTGAAATCGGTTAACTTGTTTTCAAATGGGGGGCAACTGTCAACGAAGCAGCCAGGCGGAGCCATGGCCCCGGGCGCGGCAGCTTCGTAGAGTTGCCGGTCGGATGAGTGTGCAGGGGACGGTCCATGAAATGTGCCCCGAATTAAATGATTCGCGCGCAGCCAAAGCTGATCTTTTTACCACTGCATTCCACTTGAAATAAAAGTGCCACCGTATAATAACTTGCATTCAATGGAGTATTACATTGCCATCAAATTTGGCTCTAATTTGTCAAGATAAAAGTTTAAAAAAACACAACACAGGCAAACAGTTTGTAAATATATAATACCTGTAAATGCAGAGCTGGCAGACAGAAAGTAAACGTCAACTTTGGATAAAGGTGCGTCCAGTGCTTATGAATGCAGAGGGCACACAATGGGATTGTGTTCAATTTCCAGAAGTTACACACAAGGCATGACCATTAAACAGGCATCCTATCATAACAATATGGGGGAACAAACGTAAACAGTGTGGTTGGGGTGGCAGTCCTGATGGGTCCACAAATTTAGCCTTTCATGATCTCTCTTTTGCTTACCCTCTTAAGCAGTGGTTCTTAACCTGGGATGCACGCATCCCCTGGGGGTGCGAGATGCCCTTTCTGGGGGTGGGAGACGTGGCCAGATGTTTTTTCGAAGGTGAATCGTCGAAAACTAAAATTAAGCACGGGCACGTTAGTACAACTACTTTGTTTCATCAAACCCATACGCATTTATTAACATTAGAATGTTGTTGTTACGATTGAGAACCAAAGGGGTGCAAGGCTGCAGTAAAGATTAAGAACCACTGCTCTAAAGAGACCACGTGTCCCCTGCCGGGTGGCTGGGGAGGTCTGACTGGAGCTCACCTCCTGCTGCTGTAGGTGCTGCAGCGAGTCACTGATGGTCTTCACACGGTGACCCGTGAGGTTCACGAGAGCCGTGTAGCGACCTCGCAGGTCCAGAAACTGACCCGGAATACACAGTGGGACGCGCACACGCCCGCAGTCAAGGTTAGCGGGAAGTAATACATCACCTTACAATGTGTCTGAAAGCAAATGCACTTGGGCAGGACCCTCGTGACAAAGAGTCGTGAGACTCGGTGAGGCTTCTCTGGGTAAATAAGTGTAACAATAGACAACAAGTCGAGCAAGTGGGCTCACCTCTTGCGCGATGGTGTCAGCTTCTGACTGCTGCCACTGGTGCCTGCTGGGGCCACTGTGCGCCGATTCCACCAGGGCGCGATACTCCATCAGCTGCATCTCATACTCCTACGTGAAGCAGGCGGCACAAGGACAAAGATCCCTCGTTTCGCCTTCACAGACTGTTGGGGGCAAGGTGCTGTTAGCGAGCACATATGAAAGCCGGCACAACGCACGAGGGGGTGGGTGGCCGACACCATGCCCGACCGCCTTTGTCTCCCCAGTGTCGATGTTTACACACCGCAGTAGGTACTCATTTGAGGCTGAGTCGACCTAAGGGAGGCACAGGACCGGTTCAGATAATCGTCACTGGCGTTGGCCGTGATTGGGAATCGAACCCGGGTCGCCATGTTCGTAGCGCAGCGTAGCGCTAACCGCTACACTACCACTGAACCAGGCAGCACAACACACACACATGAACACAGGCAGCAGGGTTTGGCAAACGCATACAAGGCTAAGTTGGCAGGGAATTACATAGGCATATGTACATATATACATACTAGCCTTTTGCCCGTCCAAGGACGGGTGTATTGCAGTAAATCTGAAACTTGCAAGGGAAAAGCATATCGCAACGTGATATTTATTGCATCAATTCGTGTGCAATTTGTAAGGCCGCGGTGACACAGATCTAGTTCATTTAAAGGTTATAATCCCTTGTTCATCATGACGTCCTTTTTACTTTGATGTCTCAACAGCGTTACGGAGACCGCGTGACGTGAGGGTTGTAAGTTGACGCCGAGGAGGGGGGAGGAGGCGCCTCGCCCCCCCCATGTGGAGTGACATCAGCCGCTAATTATTATGAATGGGGGGGGGGGGTGTCCATTTGGAGAACGTCACCTTACAATGATTATTAATGTGGGGGGCTGTTCGATGTGGAGTGACGTCACCTGCTCATGATTATTAATGAGGGGGGAGGGTGCTCCATGTGGAGTGACGTCACCTGCTCATGATTATTAATGAGGGGGGAGGGTGCTCCATGTGGAGTGACGTCACCTGCTCATGATTATTAATGAGGGGGGATGGTCGATGTGGAGTGACGTCATGAGCGTTAAGGACAGACATTCCCGGGTGAGCAAACTGGACTGACAATCTAAAAGTTCGACCGGTACGATTTGGTCTCCCGGCATGGCAGTTGAAATACTGGTGCAACTTGATTTAAAAACACCAGAGCCCCTATTCACCCAGCCGTATAAATATTGAGATCACTGTGAGCTGACTGGCGTGTCGCGTGCGGTGGGACAAAGTGTGGGCCACTCCCACTTCTTCCAAGATGTCGGACTGGTATGGAAGATTAGGCCAAAGTACCCTCTCGAGGGGCCTCTCTTAATGCCTTTAAAGGAGGACATTCTGGCAGCAGTGTCGTGAGAAAATAATTACAGGACCTGCACCTTTACCTTTGCATTAGATAGGGTGCAGCGATGGCTCGCTTAAAAATATTACTGAAAATGTTTATGCATCGAATTAATCAAGATTTTTTTCTTAAGAAATTAGCATTATAATCACGTGAGGAAATATCCCTCCACCTCAATGGTGGACATCCTCCCGGGCGTGTCCCCTCCCTCCGCTGTCCCTCTGCCGTTAGTGTCGCCCTGTGTGAGCCGAGTGCAAACGGAGAGCGGAGCTCACCTTGAGCGCTGCGCGGTACTGCTCGGAGTAGCGCTGGCACTCGTTCACCTTGTCTTGCCTCTTGTCGATCTCAGTGACCAGCTCCTGTGAGGGCGAAAACGACGCGGCGACCTCAGAGTCGGTGATTGCGTAGCGTCTGCTTCTGTGTGCGTGAATATCTAACACGTGAAACGCTTCAGCAGCATATAAACCGAGATTTTTTTTTTTATCTCGGGGTCGATTGGCGGCAGAGTGGAAAGCGCACTGCACAACCTGGCAACCTGACCGCCTGAGTTTGAATCCCAGGAATCCCAAATCGTGACAACGCATTGAATTGCGAAGGTGAAGCGGGGAAAGCTTGAATTATACAGGCGTAAGTGTCATGTACTTTAACGAGCTAACTAAGGTAAGGCCCACTGAGCTATGTAGCTCTTTTTCAGAATCGACCTGGCCACAAATGAAAACATAACGAAGTGGCTTATCGCGTGGAAATTTATCGAAGCCAAATACTCTAAAACGCACATTTCTAAATGTGGAGAAAAAAACCGGAGGACTCGGAGAAAAATCCACGCGACCACAGGGAGAGAGAGACATGCAAACTCCAAATGTACAACATGCGTCAGGGGTCGGGATCGAACCTATGACCCCACAACCTCCTATTTACCAGCTGAAGTAGCGTAGTTAACATCCTCAGAAAAGCAGACATTCGCAAGTCCGCATAGCGATATTAATATTACATTCAGACTCTGTCGCCTCGACGGACCTGGTTTTCACCTGAGGACGGCTGCTTGCGTTGTGGCCGAAACGTCGTGAGAATTGTTTTATTATGTTTTATTTTTATTATTTTATTACTTCCCTTCTACGTGACTTTACCGAAAGAACCAAGAAGATGAATCCCTGCAGTCACGAAAGCTTTAAATCGAAAATTATTACTATTGCTTCTAATAATAATATCAGGTGATCACCTTGTGCTGGTTCAGCTGGGAGCTCAGCTCCTGGTAGTCGGCCGTCTGCGTGGGGAGGGGCTCCTCTTGCTGGCCGCCCACTTCCTGCACCCACTGCATTATGGTCTGGTACGACTGACGGTAGTGGCCCAGGATGCGTGACAGCTTCTCCAGGTCACGAACCCTGCAGCGACCCATTCGTGACCGTGTAAATCAAACAACCCGCAGCGACCACTGGCAAACACACACCTCGTCGCAAGGGTAAGAATGGACAGCAGAAGGCGTGATCATGACCAAAGCTTTAGTTCCCCCATAATGCCTTTCATGTCACGTGACATTGCCCATACTCTAACATTACCTGAAATCAGATCGAATAATCTGCCGATTAATCTCCTTGTGTTCTCATAACGAACGGGTGAACGATGACACAAGACCGTGGCAAGAGGGGGCAATGGGTTCTCTGATGCATTCGCAATAGAAGAGAGAGACCAATTGTGGAGCTGTTGGTGCCTCATTCCATCGTTCTCGGACAACGAGGCTGACATGTTGGCAACTCCACAATTCCACCCCATCACCGCGGCAAAACTGAGAACCCGGCCGAGGCCGATGCCGATTCCTGCGCTTGCGTGCGTGCGTGGACGTCCTCTCACCGCGAGTCGACCTGCGCTTCGACGCTGTCCCAGCGGCCCTGCAGGGCCTGCGTGGCGTCACGCATGCGGGCCAGGTCCACGCAGGCCTCGCCGTGCGTGCGCGACAGACGCTCGCCCACGGTCAGCGCGCGGCCCAGGGCCTCCTCCAGGCCCCGCATCGAGCGCCGCTTCTGGGACACCTCCGTCTGCCATTGCTGCCGCGCGTGCGCGCACAAAGATAAAGATCCCCCCGTGTAGCCTTCACAGACTGTTGGAGCAAGTGCTGTTAGCGAGTAGCGCCTATGAAGGTCGGCACGGTACACCAAGGAGTGGGTGGCCGGCACCATGCCCGGCCACCTTTGTGTTCCCAGTAGTGATGTTAACACACCATACCAAGTATTTATCTGAGGCTGAGTCGACCTCGGGGAGGCCCAAGACCGCTTCAGATAATCAGTGTTGGCTGTGAACGGGAATCAAACTCGGGTCTTCAACTTTGTAGCGCAGCGCGCTAACCGCTACACTACCCCACGCACGCACACACACGTGCACACATGCACAAACATGCACGCGCATACACACGAGGCAATGGCAAACCCAGGGTTCCGTTACTGTCAACTGCCGTCACCAACGTTTTCTCAGCCTGGTTTTGTTGGACCGCGTTAACAACTTGTCTGGCAGTGATGAATGGTGCACAGGTGGATCCAGAAACCTCTCGTCGGGCGGCAGGCGTGGGGGGGAGGAGGTGGGGGGGCCGTACCCAAATGTTGTCTCTAGTCAATATCAATAAAATGCCAATTTTCTTATTTTCTGTGTCTCGAGTGAGGCGCGATAGAACCCCCCCCCCCCACCCCCCTCCAGCCACCCCCACGCCTGCACGGGCACCACCACGTGGCTCATGGCTTTCGTAAAGTTTAGCCTACAACATGTGCAGTGGTCGAAAATGTTTTGACTGCAACGGTTGTTGTGTAATTTTCGGGCTGCGTTTCACAATTATTTTGCTAAATTTCCAAAAAAAACGAGCTGGGGGCAATGAGCACTCAGTGGCTGCTTTGCTCCTACGGAGCGACGGAAACACGTCCCGCCGTGCCTCCCGCACCTTGAAAGCGCCCCGCAGCCGTACCGAGACTACAATCGCCGAGCCCAAGAACCTGCCCGACTGCGATCGATGGGGCAGCCCGCGTCCTGGGCGGTCCGGTGACGGCGAGCGCGACGACAACGACGACGGCGCGTACCCTGACGGTGTTGCGGTAAGCGTCGATGCCGTCCGTCTCGTTCGGGATGGCGCTCTCCTCGGAGAGTCGGCCCTCGTAGGAGCCGAGAAGTCGTTCCGTCTCCTCCATGCTGGACTTGACCTCGTTCAACATGCTCAGCCTGGACACACGAGACGCCGCAGCGCATCGGCCGCCCGTCAGTGCACGCACCGCGACCGCGAGATGTTAACTACCTCGCCAGGTATACAGGAGGTCGTGGGTCCTCTCCCCGTGGTCGCAGAATTTTCTCCGGGTCCTCCGGTTTTTCCATCCAAATTTAGAAACGTGCGTTTAGAGTATTTGGCTGCTGCTATGAATGCCCACGTGATACGCCACTTCGTCGAGCTGTCATTTGTGGCCAGGTCACTTATGAAAAAGAGCTACATAGCTCAATGGGCCTTATCTCGTAAAACCAAAATAGTTTTAGTTGTTTTCGTTATATAATTACGCGGCGGGCCGCGTTGGGTTATTCTCTTATAAAAGTATCATCCCTATACCTCTATAATATTGGATCTTTCTTGCCGGTATAAAAATAAGAATAGGTTTTACCCTTTCTGGCAATAACAGGTGTTAAGATGTTAAAACACCAAACAAAAACCTGTTGCAAGATGTCTGCATTAACCGCACATACTTGTGGTGGACATCCAAACAAAAACATGCTCTGATAATATATGCATTGTCCTTGAAAATGATTGGTCCACACCAGAAACAGCTTTTTTATTTTATTGCCAGAAACGGTAAAACCTATTCTTATATTTTGGTACTGGCAAGAGAGGTCCCATGTTGTAGCTGCTCACTCCGAGCTATAAATGCCCTGATAGTGACAGTCTTTGTGCTGTCCGCCTTTTGGTGTTTTCTGGTCTAACACTTTGAGACTAGGTTCTAAGGAAAGCTGTCTCTGGTGTGGACCAATCAGTTTCAAAGACTGCATATATTATCAGAGAATGGTTTTTTTTCTGCATATTCACCACAAGTACGTGTGGTTAATGCAGACAGGATTCCTTGAAAAAGTTTCCGTTTGGTGTTTTAACATCTTAACATCTGTTTTATTGCCACAAAGGGTAAAACCTATTCCTATACCTTTATGTACGCCTTTATTTCTCCACTCAAATTTTCAGAACATGTCGTCGCATGTTCGCCGTGAATAACTTTGGTGAAAGCGTGTGCACACGCCCGACGGCACTTCTGATGTGAACTCCTTGTTACATTGTGCAAGCGATCTCTATCCTCGTCCGGCATAAAAAAATGTCACTTATTCTGTTTCCGCCGATCATGGAAAACAACTCGCCGAAGAGTCTGACGCTTCTGTTAATTCCTCGAGCAGGTTTCGCCTGCCCCTTTGGAAACGGACGGACGACCACGGCATCATTCCCCGACTGCGAAGCGAAAATCGACGGAACCTGTCGCCGGCGCCAACAACGAAGATTGGATCGGGCCTGGAGCGGTCGCGGGACCACTAGAGTGCACGTGGCGGTCGGCGTGAGGCCACGTACTTCTCGCGGTAGAGCAGCGAGAGGCTGTGCGTTTGCTGGAGCGAGTGCTGCAGCTGCTCCAGCTGGGACCTCAGAGCGTGGAGGCGAGGGCTCGCGACACCTTGGTTCAGCACTGGCTCGCACTTCTGCGCCATCCGGTCCACCTCCGAGCCGAGGCTCTCCACCTCCCGGTGCAGCCCCTGTGGCCAGAGGAGAGGGGAGAACGCACGACGTCGTCACGACGCATCGGGGGTTTGCGCGGAACGCACGACGAGTTGGTCCGGCACAGGGAGGGAAAGAAAGGCCTGTAAACAACCCACTGCACATTCCGTAGCTCAACGTGGCTTTCCCCGGACATCCCAGTGCGCTCACCTCCTGTGCAGTCAAGCACAGCTGCACGTATTGCGCCGTCTCGGCGTCGAGCGGGGCACGCACGCCGTGAGTTAGCTGCTCTTGACACTCCCGCAGCCGCTGAGAAAGCGCCGCGAGGTCCGACAGCAGCTGCTCGCTGTCCTCGTCCGTCCTCTCCTCTGTGGCACACGCGGCGTCACACCAGCCCCCACGCGCGGTTACGCACCGGGCGAGGTGGCGTCACGCCTGCCCGCGTGTCGTCACGCACCAGGCAAGGCGTCGTCACACACGAGGTACCATCGCATCAAAACACATGTCATCAGACCAGATGAGGCACCGTCACATCATCATCTTCATCATACCAGGCCATACCTCATCACACTAGACTGAGTATCACCACACTACTCTCCATGGTACGCAGCGCCATGGCCACCACTGCACTGCACTACCACCTGGATAAAACCAGAGGATTTACAAGTATGGCTGATAATTCTTGTAGAGATCATTTATTCTATTTTTATACCTACGTGACTTTACCGAAAGAACCAAAGAGTATAGAGATCATTGTTCAATGACGGGTGATGTGAACACGCTGAGAAAGGTGGTCAGCATGCATCGCCTCGAATTACACACCTGTTGAAGATCCAATGAAGGAATTGCCTGGCTTCTCCTGACCTCAAAGAAACTGAAACGCACTAAACCGTGTTAAGGCTCGCTGGCAGGAGGCCACGGGACAGACACAGGTGCCATAGATTGACTGCCTGAGACGACTGGCAGATGCACCAACTGTGCTCCCTACTGTGCGAACTTGCTGCGTTTTATCCGCCCGGCGCTACCACTTATTGTTGTGAGAGCGTCACTCCTCCGCCCTCCGTTGTTATTGGACGGCGACTCAAAATCAGAATTTTTTTTTCATTTAGACTGCAGGAGGAGATCTGATGAGCTGTGAATCTATTTTTCACAGATGTCCGGTATGGGGCGGGTCAGCAAGTTACAGCAGTTAGAAGATAGAGAAAGTGGTGAGCAAGTCACTGCCTCCAACTGCCCAACGGCATCCTACACGAGCCTCCATGGCCATACCTCGCAGACAACTCCTGATGGGTCACTAATCCAAGTCCTATGAGAATATTTTTTGTTACCGGAGGAATCCGATGAGCTCCAAAGCTCTTTTTCACACACGCCAGTAGTCTCACAGACGTCCAGTAGGGGTATCATCACATCAGCAGGGCTCTATATATATACCCTGCTCAGCTTTCCGACAGCCGATGCAAGACGAGGACTGGAGACAAATCGAGCGCGAGTTTACCCAGCACGAGCTGCTCCAGCAGCTGCTGGTAGCGCGTGCGGCATGCGGCCACGTCCCCCCGCAGCTGCTGCATCTCGGCCGCGGAGAAGGCCTGGCTCGCCTCGTTGTGGCCCTCCAGCTGCCCGTAGTGGCTCTCCAGGGCATCCATCACGGACAGGTAGTCTTGCTCTGCCAGCCCACGGAACTGGCGCACGGCGGAGGGGAGAGCGGATTACAAGCGAGGGTGGCGGCTCGACGAGCGACTTGATCTCGTCAGTTCGCGCCATTAATTTGGACAACCTTGTTCGAGACAATTTAGGGGCAAGGGGATTGGGGGTAAAAAGGAACAAGGGACCCACGTCCACCCAACCTCATACCTTAAGTTAGATCAAGTGAACCTGATAGCCCACCCCGCGTTTCCTCGTCATTGCTTTTCTGAGTATTTGTCGTTTTGTTAACGAGTAGTGAGCAGTACGCGGCACTCACGTTGTCGATATTCCAGGCCATGACGATGCCCATGTCAGCATGGAGGTGCTGCCACAGCAACAGCCCCTGCATTTTGCCGTAGAGCTGCTTCCAGAGAGACACGCTGTCCTGGTACCGCTGCTCCACCCTGTGGCCAGTGGACGCACACGCGCACACGCGCACACACACACATACACGCGCAAACCACACATGTACACACGGACACGCGCACATGTGCACACGCACACACGCACGGTGCAGCATACCACTATTAGGCTTAATGCCTTAATCACTGATGGGATGGGCAAATAGGTTGCTAAGTAAGCAATCTGAATTCATAACCAGATGGCAGCCCAACTGGGCGACCTGACTTTGATTACTGGCCATGGTTAATTATGGTGGCGAGCGATATCTGACCCTTCACCAATTTGCAACATCCAGCACGGTGATGTATGGTCAAACAGCCCCCATGACTGAGAGGAGGCCTTCATTTGATAGTGGATTGAGAGAGGGGTGTACAAGGAAAGCCGACTGGGCCTATAAGCTTCTGGGTCACGGCCAGAATACGGTAACATTTACGGTAAAATAGGCGGACACTCGGGGTCGATTTTTGGTGTTCGCAATTTCTCCGAGGCGCTAAACCGGAGGCTGAATTCACAAAAAAAATATTTTACCAGGTACAACCCACTGAGCTATGTAACTCTTTTTTAGAAGTGACCTGGCCACAAATGATATCTCAACGAAGTGGCTTGTCACGTGAATATGTATACCAGCCAAATACTCGAGACGCATGTTCATACTAAATGTGAAGAGATAAACCGGAGGACCCAGAGAAAAATCCACGCGACCACGGGAAGAGAGACACCGAAAACTCTAAATATACAGGCATCAGGGTCGGGATCAAACCCACGACCTCCGTCCACCACGCGAGGGAATTAGCATCTCGCCACCGTGGCGCCCTATAGGCCCTCCCCCGCCCCCCCCCCCCGTGCTCGAGGACGAATCGGTAGGCGGCTGCGTGGTGGTGGTGGTGGTGACGGGGCTCCCTCACCGTGCAGCAGAGTCGAGCGCTTCCTTGTTGGGCGCCGGCACGAGGAAGCAGACGGAGGGCACGGTGCCCGAGCGGCCGGAGGGGCTGCTCACGGTCCAGCGGCCGTCCTCGGCCCCGCTCAGCGAACACTCGTCGTGCTTGGTCAGCGTCACCTGTTGCAGCGGCGCCGGCGGACGAGACACTCGTAAGTGGCGACGCGAGCGACAGCCCCCCCACCATCCCCCGTTTAGATCGCGTGCGTCTCTCCCTTAGGTGTCGCTCAGAGGGCCGAGTACATGTGTGTGTGTGCGTGTGTGTGCGCGTGTGTGCGTGTGTGTGTGCATATGCGTGCGCGTAAGTGTGTGCGTGTGTGTGTGTGCGTGCGTGTGTGTGTGCGTGTGTGTGCGTGTGTGCGTGCGTGTGTGCGTGTTTGTGCGTGTGTGTGTGCATGTGCGTGCGTGTGTGTGTGCGTGTGTGCATGTGCACGCGTGCGTGCGTGCGCGTGTGTGTGCATGTGCGTGTGTGTATGTTGAACTTCTTTCTTTACGTCGCCAACCGTGCTAATTGGAGGTGAGGGAAAGGACAAGAAACTAAACACAAAAGCCGATCCAATGAAGTGAGTTTTCAATCGAGATTTAAAAGTGCATTGCTCCAGCTGGCACTGCCGCCGAGCTCCTGGGTTCAAACCTGGGCTGCTCAACTAAACTTATTTTTTATTCCACAATTTTTTATTTTACCAGGTAAGGCCCACTGAGCTATATAGCTATTTTTGAGAAGCGACGTTACCACAAATGATAGTTCAACCAAGTGGCTTGTCACGTGAAAATCTATAACAGCCAGAGAAAAATCCATGCAATCATGGGGAGAGAGACATGCAAACTCCAAATATACAGCAGGTGTCAGGGTCGGGGTTGAACCCACGACCTCCTATATACCAGGTGAGGTTTGCCCAGGTTTTTAAGTCGAGCGAGTCGCCAATGATTTTCAAATGTACTTTGATAATATTAAATGTAATTTTGTACTTAATTAGGAGGTATATATATATATATGTTCCAGCTCTAGAGATGTTAATAATATCAGTCTGACTGTCACGCAACAAACATGATTTATATCACTAGGCCAACATGCGGGTGCTATGTTTTCAGACTATTACAGTCCGCAGTAGTTTCACAGCAGGCGGGCGATATTTCTACGTAACTTGTAGTTCCGTGACATCCTCTTTTGTGGACTGTTCTCCAGCCTGGGGCGATGCACTGCTCCGCGAGACTTTTGAAGACATCGTTCTCATCGTCACATTACGCCGACGACGCTCAAGACAACGACAACAATGACGACGCCCAACGACACTCCCAAAGCCGGAGGCCGTGTGGAGCCAGCCGCACCTGGTCCTGGTGGTAGTTGCAGAGCGCCGTGACGGGGGTCGGGGAGCGCGGCGAGAAATCGGGCCGGCGAGGCTTCAGCTGCACCACACCCTTGGCTCGCTTGTGCAGCTTCGATGCGCCCACCTTGAGCTCCGACAGCTGCTCCTTCTCCTCCTGTGGCCATCACACATTCACATTCGTTCATTCGTTCACTCACCTGCTCTGTAAAGCATTAAATCGGAGTGTGGAACATTCCCACATTCCTGGTCGAGTTTGTTTTAGGCTGTGAAACAGACTGCAAGTGGCTCACAGCGCTAATAAACTAAAACTAAACAATTTTTATTTTACCAGGTAAGGCCTATGGAGCTACAGTATATCACTCTTTTTCAGAAGCAACCTGGCCACAAATGATAGCTCAACGAAGTGGCTGATCACGTGGAAATTTACAGCAGCCAAATACTCAAAACGTGTGATGTTGATTCTCAATGTGGAGGGAAAAACCGGAGGACCCGGAGAAAAGTCCAAGCGTCCACGGAGAAATAATATCCAAACTCCAAATATACAGCAGGCGTCAGGGTCGAGATCAAACTCACGACCTCCTGCGTACCAGGCGAGGTAGTTAACATCTCACACAATATGCCCAGACCCGGAGACAAATCCTCACGCCCACGAGGAGAGAGACATGCAAACTCCAAAATATACAGGCGTCAGGGTCGGGATTGAGCTAGAAACTCATTGGCATGTTTTGTTTACGTGAGAAACCTTACTGGTTGGCCGTGTCGGGTGGTGGCGGGTTTAACGACACATTTACATTTACGGAATCTCACCCAAAACAAAAACAAAAAACCTCTATAATGGATAACTTCGGTCGCAAAAGCCGAGTGTTGGATCGCGAGACCGTGCGAGAAGGCAATGGCTTAGGGATGCCTTAACTCAGCAGTAGATAGGTCATGGCTGGTGATCAGAATCTAAATGATTATTATACTGGATGAATCCAATCAGCTATAAATCTATTGTTCACAGATGTCCAGTAAATGATGATGATGATGACGATGACGTCGATGCTGATTTCCTGTTCACCTGGGCATCCTGGAGGAGGTTTTCGAGGCGTGCGAGCGGAGTGCTCACGTCGCACGCGTAGCGGCGCCGCACCGCATCCTGCACGCGTCGCAGCTGCTGCTCCAGCTCCCGGGCATCCTTAAAGAACTGATGGCCACAAAGATAAAGATCCGCCCCCCGTGTAGCATCAACACACTTGTAGGGTCAAGCGCTGTTAGCGAGTGGCACCTATGAAGGCCGGCACCGTGGCGCACAGAGGGTGGGTGGATGGCCAGCACCTCGCCCGGCCACCCTTGGCTCCCCTAGTGGCGATGTTTACACACCGCACCAGGTACCCCTTTGAGGCTGAGTCGGTCCTGGGAAGGCCCAGGACCGGTTCAGATAATCGTCGCTGGCGTTGGCCGTGAGCGGGAATCGAACCCGGGTCACTGGGTTCGTAGCGCAACACGCTAACCGCTGCACTACCACACTGATGACCACTCATGGACACGCACACACACGGGGTACTGCAGGCCATATGGGCAAGCGCTCTTCTGATAAGCTATCAAGGTAATCTTAAATCTTGATTTAAAGCTTTCGTGACTGCAGGGATTCATATTCTTGGTCCTTTCAGTAAAGTCACGTAGAAGGGAAATAATAAAATAATATTAATATAAAACAATAAAAATTCTCACGACGTTTCGACTGCAACACAAACAATCGTCATCAGGTGTGAAATCCACAGAAAGAAAATTTTCTTTCTGTGGATTATTTGTGGATTTCACACCTGATGATGATTGCTTGTGTTGCAGTCGAAACGTCGTGAGAATTTTATAGTTATATTTTTATTATTTTATTATTTCCCTTCTACGTGACTTTACCGAAAGAACCAAGAATATATAAGGTAATCTTAATTTAGGTGGCTGTAATTGTGCACGTTAACAGCTCCAATATCAGGTGCTTCTCCAGATCCCTTGCATCCTTGAATAACTGACGACCACGCACACGCACAGAGGTCCCCTGTGCTGTATTCTGTTCACGAGCACCTTTCAGGGTGTTGTCGATAGTGGTCTCAATAGCCTCTTAATATCCCAATGCTCTGTGCTCGAAAAAAGCAATCATTATTCATCACAGTTCTCAACAGTTTCTATTTGCTAGACACAACTCTGTCCGTTCATGCCAGTAAATACATTGACCGTCACAATTACCAGTGCCAACTGCTGTAAAATTGCCATATTTCATGGCTGTAAAATTGTCATATTATGTCCTGACTCTCGGTGCCTGTCGTGATAGAGGTCTGTGAGCAATTGTACGGGTCAACATCAGAACGAGCAAAGCCACTCGCTGTGTGGAAGGGGCCAGTGACTGAGTGGGTGTGGCTATATAAAAGTGGGTGGGGCTTATAGACGGAGGGGGGGGGGTCTACGTGCTGACCACGTGCCCCAGTCGAGCCTCACGTGGACATGGCAGCTCGATTACACGTCGCTGACGCTTAAAGGGCCACAGGCTGTCGGTGGGGGGCAGCTACCTGGAAGTAGACAGCGTTCTCGGCCAGGTGCGTCTCGACGCAGGAGCACAGCTGCAGCAGCCAAGACCACTGGGTCTTGAGGGCGAGCAGGTAGGCCTGCACACGTGGCGCACACGCATTACGGTCAGCACATGCGGCGGTGCGGAGCTGGGACCAGTTCACCACCTCCAGGGTGAAAAGGTTGCGGTGAAAAAAAAATGTCATCGCACCTCCAATACATTCACTGCAAAGGTATCCCACATTAGCCTGCCACATGTACGTGGGAATACGCGTGAGGATGAATGTGCGAGCCTCCCTAGATGCCGTGCGTACGGAATGAGCGTGGTCAAGTTATTTTATTTGGCCTGCAGGCATCACAGATTCCACATCACTCTTGGCAAGAGTTGGCCACTGTTTGCTCTTGACAAGTTTAAATTACCTGCTGTAAGTCAAGTCATTTAATTTAAAAAAAGATACAGTTATGCGGCATTATATGTTATTCATAATGATTTGTTATTATATCGCTGTGTTACAGATGGCAGCGTGGTGGCGCTGGATTAGGGCACAGCGCTATGAAGCATGTGACCTGAATATGTTTTCAAGTCATGGCTAACAGCGTTTCCAACTGATATTCTAAATGGTCTTGGGCCCCCCATAACAAATATACACGACTAACCAGCGTGGTGAAGTATAGTCAAACAACCTCAATGACCAACACAGCATAGAAGGGCTTTCAGCCAGCAGGGTGTTGACAAAGGACTGTACATTATTACTGTATTAACATTTTACTCGTAATCACTGACTTTATCTGGAAAATAAAAACACTCATTTAGACAATACAGATTTGTTTTATGTTAACTGCCATTAAAAGGAGATATACGCCTCTGGATTGGTGCCGCACAGTGAAGAGTGGCACAGTGTTTCTAGAGTGAAGGCCAACATTTTATTCAGATGCAATGTCTACAGATTCCTAGTGTCAGTAAAATGCCAGCAATGAGTTACAAATTGTTACCGCTTTAGCTAAGCAAATCAAAACAGGACGAGTCTTGATATTCGTGTCTACCCAAAGGCTACATTGGGAAAAGCAAGATACAAAAAGCAATATACGTAATTAGCATTGTGGTTTGACATCCGAAACGCCTTTTGTATTTAACGGGATATGTCCCAACCTGTTTTCAGCTGACTCAAAGCAATGCAGTCATAACTGTATGTGCTGCCTTGTGAGAGAACCACGTGAGCTTTGAGTGCAGGGTACGAGGTTTTCGATGTATGTCGGAAGCCACCAAATGGTCTGTTTCATGTGTTGTTAATGTTTGTTTTGGTACAGATATCTTTTTTGCAAACACATGCATTGTCTCCATTACGATGTTTCAATTTGCTCGTGAAATTATTGCAACAATCACATTCGGCTGCTTGTAAAGTCGTTATTTCAAGAATTTACTTTCTTCCACAGGTGCAGAGCACTCAGCTGTGACTAATCTCAGCTCCTGGATTCGAATCTAGCTGCCTATGATAAAACCTGGTTTTCAAGTACAGTATAGTGACTGTATTGTCATATCAGTCACCAATGACTTAACAAACAAACCATTACTAGCCTTTTGCCCATCCAAGGACGGGTGTCTCGCAGTAAATCTGAAACTTGCAAGCGAAAAGCAGACTGCAACGTGATATTTATTGCATCACTTCGTGTGCAATTTGTAAGGCCGCGGTGACACAGATCTAGTTCATTTAAAGGTTATAATCCCTTGTTCATCATGACGTCCTTTTTACTTCGATGTCTCAACAACGTTCCGGAGATCACGTGACGTGAGGGTTCTGCCTTTGTAGTGAGGGTTGTGAGTTGACGCCGAGGAGGGGGGAGGAGGCGCCTCGCCCCCCCATGTGGAGTGACGTCAGCCACTAATTATTATTAATGGGGGGGGGGGGGGTATCCATTTGGAAGACGTCACTTGGTCACGATTATTAATGAGGGGGACTGTTCGATGTGGAGTGACGTCACCTGCTCATGATTATTAATGAGGAGGGGGGGTCCATGTGGAGGACTTAACCTGTTCATGATTATTAATGAGGGGGGCTGGTCGACGTGGAGTGGCGTCACGCGTGGGACACACAGACATTCTTGGCTCATTATAGTATAGAATATTTTATTTGATTCGGCACTCCATTTGGCTAAATTCTGCCTCTGAAATTTTTAAATATCAGTTTGATTGTCATGCGATGAGCATTAATCTGCAGCAGGCTTAAAAAGATCTCAGCAGGAGCTCTGCAATATCCGCTTCTGCTGGCCATCCTCTAAAAACAGGGGGCTTACGCTGTCCTGCCAGAGTTCCGAATGGCCCATTCGTCTCACGGTATGAAACCGATAGCAACAACCGTGATAAAAAAAAAGGTGACAAAAGATGTTCCGTGAAATTCCGAACGTGGCCACGTGACTGCCTGTGTAGGTGCAACCCCCCACCTGGATGGTCGGCTTGCCAGGGTGGCCTTCGCCAACCAAGTCCTCCCCGGTCTGCACCACCTCCCGGAACGCCGGCTCCCTTTGCTCCAGCTCTCGCACCAGCAGCTGAAGGCAAAAACAGATACAAAAATCCCCCGTACAGCCGCGACAGACTTTTGGGGGCAAGATAATCGTCACCTGTGTTGGCCATGAGCGGGAATCGAACTCGGATCGCCGGGTACGTAACCATTGCACTACCGCTCCTTAACAGACAAGTGCTCTTAGCGAGCACGGCAGATGAGAGAGGTGAGTGGCCAGCACCACCACGCCCGGCTGCCTTTGCCCACCAGTGGCGATATTTACAAACCGCACCAGGTGCTCGTTTGAGGCTGAGTCGGCTCAAGACCGGTTCAGATAATAATCGTCACTGGTGTTGGCCGTGAGCGGGAATCGAACTCGGGTCGCCGAGTTCATAGCGGAGTGCGCTAACGGTTGCACTACTGCTCCCCACACACACACAGGCATGGACATACGCACACACGCACAGACACATGAATATCCCCGTCACGACCGCTGAGGGCGTACGAGGGCGCGGGACTCACGGCGTACGCCTCCTTCTTGGGCTCCAGGTCGGGGTTGAGGTCGCTCCAGTCGTACGCGACCTCGCGCTCCTCACGCTGCGTCAGCCACAGCATCTCCCGCTGGCAGCGGCGCAGGAAGCCCTGCTGGTTCTCGAGCAGCCCGAGCCGCGCTCGCGAGCCGTTCTGCGTCGGGACAAGGGGGCGGCGGAGGCGGTCGCGCACACAGCTCCTGATTGAACTCACCACGGCGAGCGTACGGCGATACGGCCGAGTACAAGCGTGTGCAAGCAGAGCTCCGCTCTGTGTCTCCACGTTTGATGGTAGTGTTCCCTCGTTATTCGCAAGGGATACGTTCTGAAGATGCTCGTGATAATCAATTTTGGCGGATACTCATATTGGCCTACGAAAAGGAATTACCTTAAATCAGTATGTAAATAAGCTGTTAAATACGTGAAAATTATCATGGTAGCACATCTCTTTACCTCGTCGCTTTATCTCTCATCACTTTATCTCATCACTTTCTTTCTCTCTCTCTCGATGCAGTCGAGAGAGAAATGCGCTTCGTGGATAGCCAAAATTGTGGATAACAAGTTGGTGAATAACAAGAGAATACGGTAGTTGTTTAGTCCATCAGGCTATTGCCTTTCCAGACTGTTATTATCAAGTAGCATTTGTTTAAAGAAAAACACTCTGGACTGGTTGTGACCTTCTGGGTCTCATCAGCAGTTAGGCTACAGCTGAGTAGATCTCCTTAAGGTTTTAGAGCATCCTTGTGATTATTGATCAATCAAAGAGATTAAGATAGATGGACACAAATGAAGACAAACCTCCACTTTTCACCAAGACTTCACCGACCAAGATGGTGAAGTATGGTCAAATAAAGCACATGGACGACGCGAAGTGTGGATTGACAAAATGCTTGAAAAAGAGACCATTAAGACCAGACAATTTCATTCCGTCATTTTAGGATTCTATGGTGGAAGGGTTGCTATTGGGCATGTAATAATGCAAAACCAAAACAAACGTTTTCTTAATTTAATTCTCACGCTTATTTATAACCATTTATCAAAATTGCTGTGCATTTCAAACTCATTAGATGCCTAGATCATTTGATTCTACGGTGGAAAGTCTGTGGTCTTTACAAATGTGATATTAAGCCTTTTAAATATATGTGCGTGCAGATTGGTGATAATATCAGTTACGTCACTGCACTACACTTCCTGACCATGTACACCTTGATAAATTGGTACATAAACATTTTCTCCTCTTATCTCCTCCTCTTATATCGACTCATCCTCAAACGAGCACCTGGGAGGGGGAGACAAAGGCAGCTGGGAAGTGGTGGTGTTGGTCACACCAACCCTCTGTGTGCTGTGTCAGCCTTAAACAAAAAAACGAGTTCAGGACAATTGCTGTGAAAGTGTCTGCGTACATATCTTTGAATAGATGTTATCTATTGTTGCGAGGATTGTTTTTTGTCAGCGTTCCACGATCTCAATATTGCAAGGTCACGTGCCCTCACCAAGAGCTTGCTGTATTGTTGCTCCAGCTTGTCCAGTGATTTGCTGTAGTCGTAGCGGCTGCCTTGCGACACACTCTGCTGTAAATGCAGCAACGTAAAGTCTTATGGTTCATGCCTGGAGTCATTTGTGTCAGCCTCCTGTGAACCAGGAGTACAAGGCATGAAGTAGGGCTTCTCAAATGCATACCGTGTCAACCCACACGGTTTACCCCACATTCTTGTACAGGAAGATAGAATGTGCAGGTCCATAGGGCGTACAGCCGTTCCAATACGGGCAAAACCACTTTTGTTTGTCTATTTGTTTGTGTTTCTCCCTTGTGATGGGACTTTGTAGGATTAACGTTGAGATTTATAAGGGACACGGGGTGACCAATGAGGTCTGAATTGGTCTGTAATAAGGTAGGGCGCTGGTAAGGGGTTGACAGGTTTGCAAATGCCACTCCTCGCTACCCAGCACAGTGGTCTCCTGTAGCATTTACCAATCGTCTCGATGCAAATGCAAGTTCATCTGTTACACGTTGAAAGCACCTGATGATTGGTAAGGAAGAAAACATTTACCACAGTTGGTCACAATGAATGGGGTTTTAAAAGGCCTGTAATAATGGATCAATTAAATAGAATAATTTTAAGCAATTAATAAAATCTAAATAACAACTTGTATGGTGTAAAAACACGAGCTAACAATGGCAATTATAATCAGAAGTAATTGTCCACTTTGGAAAAAAGCCATGAATGTCAATGGAAACGACTTACAACCAAATGAACACAAGCACATTTGATCGCATAAGTTTGCCTCAAGCAAATTAAACACACCAAACTGATGTGGTAGCATAATTGATGTGTTATTATTACATGCCGACATCGAGTTACAATGCTCATTTTAAATTACGTAATCGTTTGACAAATTGTGGCTTCTAAAACATGAATTGTACAACCTTCAAACATCATAAAATTACAATGTACAGAAAAACACGGCCAACTGAAGATAACTGTGAAATAACATATTTTCCGAATTGTGTAAAATCAGGGCTTCATGGAATATTTTCCACCCTCCACCCTTCTCCCGCCACCCCCCTCCCCCTCCCCACAGCGAGAGCTGGAGAAGGGGGCAGGAAAATATTTTTCTTGAGTTCAACTCCGGATAACTGTAGCTGGAATCAGGCCCTGTGTAGAGTTCATGCTTTACCGCCTCGCTAAGTGAATAGATGCGCCACGTTACGTCATTAGCTACCATTGTTTGCTGAGCTTCACCCAGGCTTGACCGAAAGTTCTCGATGGTTTGGTGAAGGGCCTTTTGCTCTTCCAGCAGAGCCGTCGTCTCATCCAAGTCTTTGCCATAGCCAGACTTGTCAACCGTTACCTGTGGCCACGAATCATACATAAATAACATTACATTACTGCATTACTCAGCATGTGCAAATTACTCAATGCAATATGTTTATCTATAGCAATAACAACGTACAGTCAATATACTAGTGGATGAAGGCCTCCCCACGCTGTCTCAATCGTGGGGGGTGGTTTGACCATATTTCACCATGCTGGTCAGTGTGAATTGGTGGAAGATGGGGAGCATTTACTTGGATCCATAGACGTATCAAGTAATCCAGCAAACCCTAATGACAACTTGTCAGTGCATGACAACTCTGCTAAGCTTCTGATATCCCACGAGATCAGGCGCATTGCAGGTGATTTGGGGGAGCATTAATTAAAATAATCCTGTGCCTATTAACACACACATATACACGATGGCTGACATCTTCGAGTGTAGTAAGTTAACTTAATGGACCGTGTGCGTGGCCCCAGACCTGGTTGCTCTGCACCCAGGTGAGCAGCTCCTGCAGGTAGGCCGCGGCGGTCTGGTCCTGCTGGGAAGACGCCTCCTGCAGTTGGGCCTCATCCCGGCTGCGTTTTCGAGCCCCTTCCCCGGCACGAGACGTGATCTTCGCGTGCTCCGCTCGCAAAGACGCCACCTGCTCCTCCAGCCGCCGCAGCCTGCGCGTCGCGCGCCCACCACGGAAAAGCCCCGTCAAGTGTGAGTTCGTCATTTTACTCGGCAAACTCTGTGCACACGCGCGGCGCGCGATCGCCGCGTTGAGCTGGGTGAGGTGCTCACAGGGTGACCTCGAGACGCAAAAACCTTGAACGAAAACTAGCGAAAGGTAAACGTTGATATGGCGGTGGAAAGATGGCCGTTTGTGAGGGATAAAATCAGTCATTTGACAGCGTGTGTGAAAAGAGCAATGGGTATGTACCGATGCTCAGAATGGAAAGACATTTCATGGCTTCAAATGTAAAAAAAAAAATGATGGCCTGAATTTCACTCTTGTCATACTTTGCCAAGTCAGCTGTAGTTGATTATCCTGATGATTGATGATGGATATTGCAAAGATGGACAAATTGAGACAATGATGATGGCGATGATTATAAACACGATGATGAGGGTTGTAGCTCTGTCGCTGCTAGGGCACTGCGTGGTTATTCTATCAACCTGCATTCAACTTCTGGCCAAAAAATTGCCCTGGTGCTAATCTGAGTTTGACGCTGGCCTGGAATTCCCTTAGATCAACTCGGGCTTTAACCGGTCACCTAGTGGAGTGCATCAACATTTTCACTTGGGAGACAGAGGCAACACACGGCCCCAACATTCTGAGACTAAACACGGGACATCTGCGTTTGTCTCTGTGCGAGTGCTGGTGGTTTACCGGGTTTGCAGCAGCTCCGGCTGGGAGCATCCCCCGTCTGTGAGCGTCCGCACGTCGGGATAGAGACTCTGCACAAACACCTCGATCTCCGAGAGGCAGCGGGAGATCTCCTCTCCGTGCTGTGGGGCTCGGCCAGAGTTTATCAGAGCCACGTCCTGCACACGGCCCAGAAGCACGGCATAATCTATTTACAGGCTCAAAGAGATGATCAATAATTTTAAAACAAATTTTAAAATAAAGGTGCAGCCCTGCAATTGCTTGCTCGCGCAACTGGTGGCGGAAGGTTCTCTACTAGACGGAGCTTGAGGGAGTCCTTCGAGAGAGAATTTGGCCTACTCTTCCACGCTGGCCAGATATCTTGATATAGTTGGGAGCACCCACAATTTACCACACCACAATGACCCTGCCAATCAACTAACTGTGGTGGACCCATTTATACTGTAGGTTAATAGAGGCGGGGAGATACAATTATATGTAATTGCAAGTCCAGTGTGCTAACCATTGTACCACGGCAGTATCCCAGAGGCAGTGAACATGAAAATAAATAATTAGCAAAGGAACTGGCCAAACATCGACCAGGAGAAGCTTTCTTCGCTTAAATTATTATTAAATGAATTATAATTCATTTATTATTACTAATAACATTTAATACTGAAACATAGAAATAGTTTCCAGAAACTAAACATAATTTTAATATTTTGTTGTTGGAGAACACCTTATTTGGAATTAAATGAAGCCAAATGCAGCAGAAAAATACCACCTTCGAAAATTGTAATTTTTCTCCCGATAGAAATCAACCAGAAATTATTTACACCAAGTGAATATATCACACCGTGTTTAAATTAAGTTAATGTTGTTTAACCAGGTAAGAACTCAAGAGACCAGCATAGCCTCATTTGCAAGAGTGACCCAGGAAATTACTCTACCAGTATGGGCAATGATTGCTTTGTATAATCCACATTGAGTCAATTTCTAATTTGGCAAATTTGGACCATGACAACGACACAGAGTGCCCTACTCTGGCGAATGACGTCAGGGGATCTTTAATGTCGTCTACTGTGAAGCAGATGTCGTGGAGTGCCATTGTTGTTAATGCACCCGCAGTATTAACCAGGGCGGCCGCTGGATTTTAACCGTGAACCTCCGTAACAAGCGGGAAACGCGCACTGCCAGGGCATGGGGTTGACCTGTTTGTAGAACATTACTATTTTATCGCAAAGTTTACCACAAAACACGTGATGAATTGCAAGACGTTTCAACAACTTCATTTTTTTACGAAAATTATAATTTCCTCCAAACAAGTCAAGCCCAAAAACGAGTTAGATACAGAGCATAAGATGGTAGAGTGTGAATATGATTTTGTCTATTCAGTGTATCTCCAGTAGTTGGACAACAAGAAGAGGCAGATTCCATCGCAATACCAAAATAAATCCGAAAGACAGGGTTTTTTTTTTTAGCAAATGAGGTGTTTTGAAAATGCGGGTTAACCACTCAAGGTTTGAGTGAAGCTCACTCGAGTCAGTTGAGAATGTGCAAGAACCACAATGAGCACCCACTGTGCAACGAGCGCTGCCTTTTTTTTTCAAAATTAAAAGCTTTTTCTTATTGCGAGGTCTTTAAAAAGCAGCAGCTGTCATCACAACCAGAAGCACGCATTCAGGCTTGTGTCGTGAGCAGTGCATTTCAAGGAGTGGCGGTTATGATAACTTTCCTCCCCACGAAAACTACTCATTTGAAATGGCCCAAGTTCAAATATAAGATGTGTTGCTATTTTCTAAAACATTTTGAAATGTTACTTTGATGGTTTGTTACCTCTGTTGGATAATGCCTTATAAGCATCAGTAATAGCGTTCTTTACTCAGGAAAGCCTGAGTCTCAAGACTCACAGGAATGCCCTGCATTAGGATCTTTTGCCCACTCCATTAATGAGTGTTCAGCATGGGGAGAGCAAACGGAGCACCCAGAGAAAACCAATACATGTGAGAGCGTATCACTGAGTGCAGCGTAAAGATTAATACAATAATCTATTACGACTGCCAGCACCTTACCACCGAGTTACCCAAGTCTACAATACACGGTGTCCCCTGGCAGTCTGATTACTACCCAGGCTCACGCCTGCATAGTTTCCAAGATCTGTCAAGATCAGGATGAGCACTGTGGGAAAACACATTCCTGCGGAGGGAGCTGGTAGGAACGTTGGGTTGCTCGGTCAATGGCCAGGGTCAACGGCGGTGTGGTGTATTCCGCAAATATGCCCGACTGTGAGGGCGGGCACAAGCCGGCGTGAGTAGGTTAAACGTTGAGTTTTATAAGGGCACCACGGAGTGACCAGCCCCTCTCCACCCAGCCCCACCCTCCCCACCCAGCCCCTCCCTCCCCACCCTCCCCTCCCCACCCAGCCCCTCCCTCCCCACCCAGCCCCTCCCTGCCTGACGGACGGACACAATAATCCCCTGTGGGCTGGTGTAACCAAGTGGTTCCTACCAGTATAAGTTCAACATACATACATAAAAGGTGGTGGTGATAATAATGAAGGTAGAAAAATTCCATCAGATGAAATAACTCACGGCTTGCAGAGCCTCGTAGACTTTGTTGAGGCCTTCGGCGCAAGTGTTGGTGTCCACCTCCATCTTCTGCGCCAGCCTCTGTAACATCTCCAGCCTGGTGCGCATAGTCACAGGGACACGTGTATGTTGAATTTCTTTCGCACCGTACGTAGCCAACCACGCTAATCGGAGGTGCAGGGGAAAATAAACGAGACACCACGCATTATGCCGCTGCTGCCTCTTCTTCAATCGACAACCAAGCCACGCTGGAGCCATGCCGAACCAGCCCAGCACAGATCAGGAGGAGGAAGGTTGTTTTTCCACCGCAGAAACCCGCGCCACGCCGCTGATGTTTGAAAGCGTAATTAGCCCCACCCCTGGCCTTGCTTGGGCCCCCAAATCAGATATGGATGCCTTGTGAGAGCAGTGTCGTGCAGTTTGGTTTTGCCTCGGCAAAAAAAAGGAACCCTTGCTGGCTTGGCTCAACTTTGCCAGTGGGAAAGGGGTAAGAGAGACACCCAACATAATCGTTTAACAGGCACCTCACAAATCATGGAAAATTACGCCTTCATTGCCTCCTGCAAGCATTAATGCTGTTGTTTTTTTAAACGTTTAGTGGTGAGGAACTGCCACTCATCGTTTGGCATAGTAAAGCCTTGTGATGTCCATGTGGATTAAATGTGAGTTTTAGGCTGAATGGGTGATTATACAGGATGTTCGTGAAACTATCATCTACGATTAAAGAATAATACTACCCAGCAATTTGAGCTAGGTCTATAAAACTACAAAGACAAAGATCCCCCAAATAGCCTTAACATACTTTTGGGGCAAGTGCTGTTAGCGATCACCTATGAAAGCCGGCAAGGGACACAAAGGGGTGGGTGGCCAACACCATGCCTGGCCACCTTTGTCTCCCGAGTGGCGATATTTACACACTGCACCAGGTACTAATTTGAGGCTGAGTCAACCTAGGGGAGCTCCAGGACCATTGCAGATAATCGTCGCTAGTAGTGGCCATGAGCGGGAATGGAACTCGGGTCGCCGGGCTCGGAGCGCAGCGTAGCGCTATCCGCTACACAAAACACGACACACATACGTCCCACACTCGCACTTGTGCAATATTAATTTTTTGTCATCTTTTAACTATCTGCCTCTAAACCTCCACCACTGTAACAGCGTGGACGACAACTCGTCGAGTCGAAATCAGAGAGGAAAGTTCCAGGCCCTCTCGACGACACCTCGAGTGCGGCTGTCTTGAATGTTTCTGTTTCGTGCTTTTGAGGATCACTCAAGCTCTTCAGTGTCGTCAACATGTTGCGGACGAGCAACTTCTTGCCGACATTTCAAGCAGGCAGTTCAAACTGTTATATAGTTGCAAATCGTAATAGCGAAACAGAGCTTCACGGATACCCTGTATATTACCACCAAACATATTCAGCTAACATTTTAATTTTTTCAGCGGTTAGCACGGTTGGCTACATGCCGTGCGAAAGAATGTCAACATACATTCGTGTTATAACTACCACCTTGACTTAAGTTTAATATTAATTGAATTGACCTTTGAGAAACAAACATTTGGATTGATAGTGACAGACGGGAGACACTTTTCTTGCAGCTGGATTGACAACAAACATCAGCCACGGGCAGTGTGCTGGCTTGCATATTCCATGGCTGCTGTGGATAGAGGGAAACTGTGTCCTGTGATCAAAGATTCTCAACACACGTGACCCCCCTTGCGCTAAACATCAGACAGCCCACACACGGCATGCTGCAGCAAAAGCCGCAGGCTGTACTCCACGCGTAAGCACAAAGATTCCCCGTATAGCCTTAACAGACGTTTGGGACAAGTGCTGTTAGCGAGCACTTAAAAAGGCCGGAACGGTACACAAGGGGGTGGGCGGCCAGCACCACGCTCGGCCGCCTTTGTCTCCCCAGTGGCGATGGTTTTACACACCGCACCAGTTACTCATTTGAGGCTGAGTCGACCTAGGGAAGGCCCAAGACCGGTTCAGATAACGTCACACCGGTGTTGGCTGTGAGCGGGAATCGAACTCGGGTCGCCGGGTTCGTAGCGCAGCGCGCTAACCACTACACCACGGCTCCCCACACAGTGACACTCGGGACAAGCGAAGCAGTGGAGACAGAGGGGTTGTCTCATATCTGCGATGTTACACTGCTTCGCTGTCTCAGCGTACAGCCCATGCTTTGCTGTGGACTGACATGTTATCTCATGCATGCTGTGTTCAACCACGACACTGCAGGTCAATTCGCTTCTCTCTCTCTCTGCTTCTTTCTTCGCATTGCAAAACTTTGGAATTCCATCCCATCGTCTCTTTTCCAAGTGTTTACAACTGTGTTCAAAATCAAGAAATATATTAACTTATTGATTACACCTTCAAGCGTTGCTGTTTGTTACTGGCTGCTTGATATTGTGGACCTCTGGGCCTGTGTTCATCAACTACGATTAAACATTTTTGTAATCTTGAAACCCAAATTCATGTCACGATAATAAGTTCATCGGATCTCACCTGATTGATTCCAACAATATGACGAGTGGATGCAAAATAAATGCTTAACGTTAAAATTGGTCAACGATAAACGTCGGCACTTCTTTCAGAAACTCGAATACAAAATATCCACACGTTTTAAAACGGAATAAAATGCATCTACAGTAGGGACGAGTTGAAATTTTGGGGTTTCTGGTCTGGGATATTTTTGGATCATTGACATTTTGTACAAATGTAAAATGTCCTCGTGCTTACACATGCAACGTGACACAACTGTTGGCGGGAAAAGTGTGAAAGTGCTATCCCTAAAAGTCCTATTAGGGACAGCACTTCTAGTTTCTGGATCAACCCAAATAAAATATAAAATGTGGATCGTACGACGTTTCGTGTCTCGGCCTGATTTTCGGATGAGCACATCTCTAAAGCACAGCATGCAGTGGCTTTAGACGAACAAATGTACTTTACTTATGTCTCCAAATATAAGACTGTACGACACCAGTCATGAACGATGTAAACAGATTTGAAGAATGTTCCGCTGCATTTGATAATGGATGTCCACATGCAACCGCACGTGGTATGAACTCATAGAGAGCAGTATTATTATTACCACAATGAAGCTTGATGACTAACAATTTTTCCATTGTAGCTCACAGAAAATCAGTGCTGGGCAGTTTTATCCCAAACAAAGATGAAGTGAGTACGAATATACATCCTGCATTGTTCACAGTTGTACTCTGGCATGAATTCCCTGTGTATTTACAAATAACAATGCCCTGTATTTATCCAAGAAAGTTTCAAGAGCCTCAAGACTATTTTTTCGTAGATCCTAATGAATTGGAATGTGCAGCCAATTCCACGTGCTTTACATCTGGGAGGAAACTACAGCACCTGGAGAAAACCCCACACGTACAAGGGGATAGCACCCAAAATGCCACACAGATGGATTCAAGAAACAGTTTGATTTACTACCATCTCCGGGCCACTGGAATCAGCCAACTTAAGCACATTACAGACGGGTATTGTTTTTGTTAACAAAGTTAATACAACTAGAGTATGCCAATGACTTTGTCGGTTTGAGGAGCGTTGCTGTAGTTAGCACACCACGCCATACACTTAGCGTCCTGAGTTTGATTCTGGGCCGCAGCTAACACCCATAGTCCCTCCACCAACCCATGCTGACCAGTACGGTCAAACGAGTGGCAATTCAAATGTTGGCCAAAGGCCATTCAAGCCTGTCGGTGCGATCCGTGGAAGCACATCCACCTTTGCGCTACCAACAGTCAGCAACTTTCTCCAGACAAGAAGCCCTCTGCTAGTCTGTCAATCACACCCTAAATGCTACGCAAAATCGAATTTGGCTAAAGTTTTGTTGAATACGGAATATATAGTACGAAAATAGACAAAAAGAATTCTCACAAAGGTAGATGCAAATAAATCCCCAGCTTACGTGAAATGCGTGCACTCGATATACTTTAGACGTAAATACGTTTATAAAATTAAGGAACAATTGCTGTCATTAGACTTGAGAGAAAAGAAAAGTATAAGACGTGAGTTTGAGTTTTACACACGGAAGCAAAGGCACGACTGCTAGTTTACAACAGCTGGTATTGCTCATTGTAAATAAATGACAGTATATACCAAATACGCAAAAAATAAAAATGTTACCTATGGACAGTAATCAAAATTCAGGCTGCTAGGTTCACAGCGCAGTGCACTAACCAATACACCACCCCAATGACATATCACTTGACATTACTCACACTTTACAGCAGCAAACATTACCAACAAGCTACGCTGACAACCTACGATAACTAAACCAATATTCATACCTAAAGTAAACAAACGAAAAACATTCAAGCTCGACAGCAACCAGGGGCCACTGCAGAAGTGAGCGGTGTGCCCGGCGCTCTACCTGTACGGGTTCACGTCCTCGAACACCAGCGTGTGGTTCGGGATGTAACGGGACAACGAGGCCATGTGGATTTGATCGCTTGAGCTGGACCCAAGGCGGGAGACGCTTCCAAAGCCGCCGCCGCTGCCGCCGTGGGCGAAGGCCGGGCTGTAGGAGACCGGGGCGACCCGCTGTCTCGGCAGCGACCAGAACTGCGTGGCGTCGGCGGCCGGAGCGCCGGGCTGTGCCGCCCTGGGCAGCGTGCTCCACTCGGAGGCGCTCATCTCGGCACCTCGGTGTCCCCTTCGCGTGGAGACGGGGAATCGGTTGAGTCGCGAACGGAGGAGGAGAGTTGCCGGACTTCAGTCGCCGAAAATTCCTCGCCTTCCGCCGAAGAAGTGCGGCGTCGCGAGGGACATTGCCGGCCGCCGTTTCAAACGTCTGTTCGGATTTTGAAGATTCAACGCTATTTTGGTGACTCCATCAGGCGCGCGCTTCTCTTCATCGCCACGCTTCCGACACTGTAGCCTGAGATGAGTTGTAAACTTACAGGAGGTCTTTTAATCCAGTGCAGCATTCAAATGGACTTATCGAGGAGGAGAAATAAAATCCTCTCTCATTTCAAAGGATTTATAGGATTCCAACAAAATCCAATGAATTATTGTAATTTCTCATCCGTGCGATGACTCACTGAGTAGGAACGCGCGGGTTGCCACG